CAGACCTGCTTTGTACGCAGTACTTTGTTACCCTCAGTGACTTTCTCTTCCTTGAACTTGTCTAGCCATCCCTTGAACTCTGGTGACATTTTAGTATTTACAAAACACTTGGCAAACTCTTCCCCAGCTGGATCAGTCAGCGCCTGCAGAACCAGCCCCTTTTGTTCTGAAGGCAGCTCCAATGGTTGAGTTGGACCTTGCTAGTTCTCAGACTGCAAGAAACAATCCCGACCACCAACTCCATCCACCCTTCATTTGAGACCCCTCACCTCCCCTTAATGCTTCTTTTCCAGCTTCACCTCACTCGGTCACTCATCATACAGAAACCATTTCATGTTTTAGATAATCCTTGCATTTTTTAATGACCTTTTAATGACTTTTCCCACTTTATTATGTTCTCATGATAGCATACCAAAGAGGAGGCCAAATCTGTACATAGTTTACAACATGAGCAAATCAGGGCTGTATTCAATATCTTCACGTTCTGTGTTAAGACCTCTCTTTGCCATTATCATTTTTATCAACAAATGATATATTTTTTCCCCCTGCTGAATTAGCATCTTAGCAGTTGCACAGCTTGACCACATTTTCAGGAGAGAGGACTTTGAACCTCACAAGAGCCAGGGAAGTAAGGAGTAGATCTGGTGGCAGCTCAGCTTGGGATGCAGTTCTAATGAAAAAATACTAGGAAGCTCCCAGCAGGAACGCCCTTAGAAACAACAACCAAAACTGCACGGACAGTTTTGGACTGGACTTTATCCAGACTACRAAGGCTGATTCACCTATGGAGTTGGGGGCTGAAATTCCTAACCTCAGCTCAGCAGCACCCAGAAGGAAATGAGCAGCTGAACTCTGTGTGGAGCTGCAAAGAGGTCCGATAAACTTCAAAGCATTGGGAGTACTCAGGGGAAAATTTGCAATATTTTCAATATGCCGGTTATCAAGCAGAAATTATTAGTCATTAAGGAAGCAGAGCAACTTAGCAACAGGAAACAGATACATTTAAGAAATTAAAATAAATGGTCATGAAAGTCTGCAGCCAGTGGCTGTCACGACTGATAGGGGACATGCTCAGTCACACATTTGGGTAAGACCAGAGCAGGTTTGCTTCATCAGGTTGAGTTTTAGCATTTAAGGGAGAAATGACAAGGACTTCAGGAAAAAAAAGGATTAAAATGACGTGCAAACTGGAAAAAGGCTACTGTCAGGCAAATGAGCACTTCTTTCAAAAAAACTGACAAGAAAGGAAACAGAAGGTATTAAAATGTATTAAAGAATTCGTATGGGGAACATGTTCCACAATTCAAGAAGAATTATGCTAGGTATGAAGCTCCTAACCCAGTCAAACAACTCTCCCAGTAAACTCTTCAGTTTTTACTAATCTTACTCATTCTAAACGGTATTGAGTATAAAAACCTTAATCTTACTTCAAAATACCCAATCCTTTATATTTTTTTTTTCCAGAAAAGTGTCAAGTAAAATATTAGTCCAAATGAACTTGGTTAATTTTGGAAAATGTTTTTCTGATGTCTCTTAAAAGGTGCACGTTCTTCCATTTTGGGAAAAAATGAAGAGGATTTGTATTAAAGTACCAAAACCCCTATAGTCCCTGAATTCTTGCAAGCTGACTCAGAACAYATTAGTTTCCGGGTCACAATTAGGCTAGGTACAAAGTCAACCCATAGGAAAGTAGATTTTTGTTACAAATTTAATTTTCAAAAAAAAAGGACATTTCTGCCATTTCAAATTTATTTCACAATCTATCTTGGTACAATACAAAACATCGAGTAGTAAAAAAAAAAATCAACATTTTTAAAAGCCCATTAGGTGCCATTTGACATTGTTTTCATTCTGTGCAGACTACTGCATTTTTGTGCTTTTTAGAGAAGAATTTGTTCATTCCCAGAAAATGAACTAATACACAGCTTTGCAGCTGCACAGAAATCCTGTCACATACAGCAGAGATTTCATGATCGCCACCCAACTCGTTTTACAAGGTTTGTTAATGCTTCAGTAAACTTAAGATCCTGCCCCGAAAATAACATCTCAAAATACACACAGAAAAATGCTGTTTAATGCCTCCTGCATTAAAATTTGTTACAGCTTTTCCAAGCATTTGATTCTAATGYTGGAACGTATGCTAATAAATAGGGGGAAAAAAACCCAACACACACACACTCCTTTCATGCAGAGTTCTGTGTATACAGAAAATATCAGGGGAAAATAATGAAAACAGAATATTACACAAAATCCACCTGTTCTGGCAACACTGAAGAATTTTCTTTTAAAATATCTCCACACTACGAGGACTTGCAAGTTAACTCACGTGGTCATAAAGTACAGAACACTAAAACTTAAGTGGGCAATTCCTAAATTGAACTATGTAAAGAATTTCCAGCAAGCTGAAGCACTCTCAGCATTCGCAGATCTCCAAAACAACCACCAAGACAAGGAGCAGCTGCCTTCCACGGTGGAGCTCTTGCTTGTACAGCACAATCCTCTATCTGCCATCAGCTGATTTTTTTTTTTTTTTAAATAAACTACATTTTCTTGCTCCGTTTTGCAAGAAGTGGTGTTTGTATTTAAAGATTTATTATTTAAATATTCTTTTAAAAAGAAAAAAGGAGAGAGGAAATGTGTTCCAGGGAGGAAGGCTGTTTCAAAGGGGTAGAGAGCTGAAATGGAACGGGAGATGCTGCTGGGTGAAGGGGCTGTAGGTCTGGAGCAAAGAATAGGGGCTTATGGGGACAGTCCTGCAGTCAGAAGCCACTGGTTGGGTAACAAGGCTAGAAATAAAACCTACAGACACCCACAGCACCAAGACATGATCCCGTAGGTTTTCCAGGAAAGCTGTTTTCACACTGAGGCCCGTGTTGGACCTGTTTGTACTAMGGGCCAAATACAAATGAAACTTGTAACTTCCAGTGATTTATTTTTGTCCGAGTTGCAAACTTTGCTGTCAATTTTGTAAATCATCAGAAGCTGAGATCCTGGGAAGGTAGTTACAAGAAAATCCCAACTTCACAGGCCACAACAGATATAAACATTGCTCCATTCAGGTCAGGTTACTCTTCTCTTATATCTGGAAATCAGCTTCAACAGCTCTTCTTCAAAGCTTCTCACACTCTGTAACACTGTTTGTCCAACTACAAAACTAGCTTCCTCACCACTTCATTCTGTGAGTAGGAAAAGAGGAATAGGGTTATGCTCCAAAAATCTCATTTCTTGAACATGTATTTAGAGAAAGCATATAGATAAGTTCTGTCAAGAGATTGAGTGAAAAGGACTTCAGGAATGTTATTGACTTGAGTTGACCAAGTCAATAAAAAAGAAAAAAAATCTTGTGGACAAAGGAATATGTTATTTTTTCTTCCCTGAACATCTGCCTGCATTAAGCTGCAGTTTCAAAGCAACTCCCACCCCTTCCCCCCTCCTTACCTCCAACTGCACCACCTATCTTGGAAAAAAATCACAGAATCCCAGAATGGTTGAGGTTGGAAGGGACCTTTAGAGGTCACCTAGTCCAACCCCCTGCTCCAGCAGGGACACCCAGAGCACGGGGCACAGGGCGGCATCCAGGCSGGTTGGGAAGATSTCCAGAGAAGGAGACTCCACAGCCTCCCTGGGCAGCCTGTGCCAGGGCTCTGGCACCCTCACAGGGAAGAAGTTCCTCCTCACCTGGAGGAACTGCCTGTGTTTCAACYTGCACCCATTGCCCCTTGTCCTGTCACTGGCCAGCACTGAAAAATGCACGTGTTTTACATCTACTGAACTGAAGGCAGACCTGTGTTACCTCAGCATGCAGGGAAATTCTCTGCACAGTATGACCAAAACATTAACACTTCCAGTGTGCAGGCAAAACAGGTTGTAGTACGTATATATATATATATGTATGTATATATACATACTAAACATCTGCGCAGTACAAAAAGGCACATTACAGAAGTTAGCAATGACATAACATCCTGGTTATAAAATGGACATACAAAAACACTTCACCCTCAAAATAAAAATTTTCCCACTGAAAACAGTTTACAGAATCTTCCTTTCCCATGCAACTCRAACAATCCTATCTTTCACAGCTGCAGGACAGGCCCTCAATTAACCACCCTCGAGCTTGTAATTTCAATGTAAAAAACACTTAAATTGTTAATACTACCATTAGTTGTTGATAAAACACTATTTTCTCCAGCTCTTGCGCTGGACTAGACTTCACGCACGGTACAGCGGAATTAGTGAAATCTGTGTTTAYCCAAAGGCAGGTTGCAGAGATCCTAGAGTTTCTTTACTGCAGAAACAGCCTGCTGAACATTTAGGAGTCCACATATAGGCTGTAAACGTGTCACACATTTTCTTCAATCAATCATTACTTCAAGACAGACAAACTCTRGGAATTTTTGTTTCCAACAGATCTTCAGTGGCCCACAACCAAYTTCAAGGATATCTCCAAAACCACCCACAGAAGTAAGCACCGAGTAAGCTTTAACATTAGTTAAACCTTTCTACTAATATCATTGATTTTTAATTGTAAAGGTTTGTTCCGTATCCAAAATAATTAACTGAAGTCACTAATTTATACCACACCTGGAAAAAGGGATCAAGTCTACAAATCCAATCGCAAAAATCAATTTCCCACACATGCGTCTAATCCTGGACAATGTTTCAGACTACCAGTAAAATGCAAATCTGAATTTCCTCCCCCATCATCATGATCTTTCTGTAGAAGAAAATATTAAAAAAAAATCATTTCAGAGTCACGAAGAACATTAAGTGTTTGTGCACTGTAACTAAAGAAGAACCAGCATAAGAGAACTAAGTATATGCAACACAAACTCATCACACTTCATAACTCAAATACCATATAAAAAAAGCATGCTGTTTCACAAGTTGCCCGAGGAACACCCAGAAAGATTATAAAAAAGTTGATGATGTCCTCATGATGCCCCTCCAACAACCCATTAGCAAAACACATATTTTAAGTAGAGACGAAAAAGCCTTACTCTGCTATATCAAGATATCCACAGGAAGCAGCTGCATGGAGAGGTATCCAGCCTTCATTATCTGGTTGATTAATATTGGCTCCATTTTCCACCAGAAATTTCACCATATCTACGTTATCGTCTATACAAGCCTATAAGGAAAGAAAGATTGAAGAAGTAAGTTCACATTAAAGTCATTCTTTTAATACTGTGTATTCTTAACAAACATTTCCAGGAAAAAAAAAAAGGGGAGAGGGGGAGGGGGGAGAGGATAAGCATTTTCAGGCATGACAAGGCAGCATGGTTGGTTGGGATCTGAGTGGAGAACAGGCCAGTTTGAGAGAAAAGAAGCAGATATTGCAGGTTTGTTTAAGAACAAATAAATAATCCAAGCAAAGAGCTTTACAAGGCTGACAAATATGATTTGCTCGGGTGTGTTGTGTTTTCAGGGGAGCTGCTGACAGTGGTGCCCGCCGCGTGTCCCCCAGCCCCGTGCCAGGCCCCAGCACGGGCTGCCGGGCAGGCCGGGCTCTGCGGCTGCCCGGGGCTCTGTGTTGGCACCGCGGGGGGCAGCGGCTCGGAGGGCCGGCCCGTGGTCGCGTCTYGCTGCTGAGCGCACGGCCGGGACGGGCCCTGCGGCCTCTGCTGCCGAGCGCCCTCGGCCACCACGTGCCTTCTCCCAGCCCATCAGTCACGGCTGCTCGCAAGCGTCCTCGCCTATGGATTCGGCGCGGCACAGATAGGATCTCGGGTGCCCACCCTGCACGGTGTCCGTCTTAATTACACGGCCAGCTCTGCCTCCCGCCTGCGTTGCCTTTCTCCGCTGTGTTTCAGCACTTTTCTCACAGGGTGCTCAGCAGGTTTTCTTGCCAACTTCCAGCCAGCTGCCCTTAAAAGGGCAGAGTACAACACGGCGAGAAGTCCCTCTAAACCGCAGGCCCGAGAGGCCTCCGAGCCGCCAGACCCCACACGACCGGCATTATTTTTTGAGCTTAATGCGACAACAATGCTGAGGAGTCAGAGGGCTGGAATAGAAACTTTAACTGCYGGCTCCCACATCCTTCCAGGGAATCGTTCCTCGGCTGAAACGCAAGGCGCCGAGTTTACTTTTCAGAACACTTCCACGGAGATAAAGACCAAAAGTTACATCCCATTCCGTTCCTGCAAAGCCCCCAAACGTCGCCTTGCCTTAGTCAAGAGCCTGAGCCTCCAAGGCGGCCTCGGAAACCTTCCTGCCTCCTGGTACTTCCACGGCCGCTCGCGTGGYATGGAGGCCGCTGTGAGCGTGACGCGGCCCGCGCTGTGTGGATGCCCTGGAGCCCCCTGCTCATGTCATTTGCTCTGCAAGTTAATGCAAAAACCCAGGCTTTGGTATGAGAACATTAATAACCTGAAGTCACCTGCCCACCTTTTCAAGTGTACTTGATAAAAAATAGCCTGTGCAAAGGCTGTTAATTACTGAATTAGCCTTTTAGCGCTGTCTCCCTCTCATATCAAAAGATTATTAAAATTACCCAATTTCTCCGCATATTCCAACACAGACTTGTGGTTGCTCAAAAAAAGCCCTAAAGTGCTTGCCGTGCATCAGCATCCAGTGGTCATGAGACAGCAAAATGCAGCAAAATGCTGCCCTCTTTGCAGGGAGCTTTTGTTACTCAAGCAAAAAGCAACTCCGGGCAACATGTACCAATTTGGCTCAAGATGAAAAGAAATTCAAGAAACAAAGACTGTTACACATAACATTAACTTTTGTGTTAGAAAACTTTTAAGACTTGAGTCTTGTTAAATATAGTATTTATAGTAGTATAAATATAGTATATAATGCTACCCTTCACCATGCTGCATGCTCAGGGGACGTTGCAGCCCTCAAAGGCATGACCTGTGCGTAAGGATATCTTAAAATGGATTAACAACAGCAAGAAAACGAAAAAAGAAAGGAAGAAAAAAAAGGGGACAGACCGTGTGCCTGTGACACAAGCCATCCACAGAGCAAATGCTGCCTGTTATTGAGTATACGTAAGAAAAAACGGGCAAGACACACTCATAAAAATCCCGTTGCTAAGTGACCAAAAGCTTACATATGCAGCACATAAAAAGACATATGACTAAGGGGCTAAAAATATTTGACCAAATTTGGGCAGTTCATTGAGCCATAYATGGCAAGAAGCGGGAGAGCCCCAGCACTCTTCTAATGCATTACCAGAGATTATTCGGGCTCCCCATGAATGCTCCATCAGCACAAGTCTATACATTAATAGGAGAATAACTGCTATTTACTCGTACATGCAAATGGGAAAGTACTGGCAGCCCTCATCAAACTGCAGAGATTTAATTATGCTCCTCATACCCCATTTCATCTTCTGCGCACTGCAATTTTATTAAGGGCACCAGGAGCCCGAGAAGCCAAAATCAATAAAGTGGAAACCACCGCACGGTTTAACCGCGGCCGCCCGCGAGCTTCTTTACACAAAGACTATGTGAAAATTGTTGGGTACAGGGCTTAGCTCAGAAATATATAATATATATATGTGTGTGTGTGTGCGCGTGTGTGTATATATATATATATAAAACATAAACAGCTTTCATAAGGTGAAGAGCAGTAAATGCAATTGATCCTGGTGCTAAAGGACATTTATATAATATGTCCTATTTCCCCTTGCCCCCATTCTGCCCTTGGCAAAAAGGGATTCGACTGACAGCACCACTCTCTGCTCATCATATGAAAGACCTTAGATTATCAGCAAGTACTAAAATCAGAAAGCCAAGAAACRAATGCCATAAAAGAAGTTTTATCTTGTTGTTTCTCCATTTCTCCTCTCATTAGCAAGGGGCTATCTCCCTGTTCCCTTCTAAAAGCAGCATTTATCAAGTGCCAGGAGCATCTCTATCATCAGAGACTGACAGCCCCAGAAGGAAAACTCTGATGCCTGCCCAATACGCTTAGAGAAACAGCCTACGAAAAGTCTGCCCTAAATCTCTCATGTTGTACCCTGAAAATTATGACACAGGAAAATGCAATGTACATACAATACGTAAATGCCAAACGTTATTTACAAGTTGCCCTGTATCACAGTGGATTTGAAAAGTAAATCCCCACAGAGGTATCTACGGAAATAGAGCGTTTCTGAGGCATCCTCTGCCCTGTCGGAYTCAACAGGAATGAGCCAAATGACCACGAACAGGGTAGTGCAAACATAAACACTGTTTACTTGAGGAGCCAGTTTAGAAACTAGGAGAATTTATGATGGAAGAAAGGAAACAGAGCAAGGACAATAACAAAGTCTGGTTACCTTTTCTGATACAAGCAGACCCTAAATCTCAAAGAATTTAGAAGCTTTTCCCAGAAATGCCTTCCGATCCCTTAAGAGGAGCAGGCAGAGAGGCCTGCTGGCTGTGTCGGATCCTGACATGTGCCGAGGAGGYCAGGCCGCTACATCCCAAGGGGAGGAATGTGCTGCCGGGCTCTATCGCCGCTATCGCGTGCTAAGTACRTAGGTGAAGGGTGGACTTGAGTTGTCGAGTAACCTCAAAACCAGATAGCTCTAGAGGAGATACGTGGAGTGCGGGGCGCCTTGCTGAGTACCTGCCCAAGGAATTCAGCAGACAGCACTCCTCCCCAGAGGAGAAAAACAAGTCTATATTTAAAAACATACAGCAGAAGCCTTGCAGGAAAATGGACAAGCAGTCAGTTAACCAGATGACTGCCTCATCTACAAAACGACACCATACATATCTTATTTGAACTACCTTTTTTTGTGYGTGCTTCAGGTAGAAAAGCTTTACAGGTTCTATCTTTGTGACATTTCATTTTTAYTTTATTTATTCTCCATATACAGAAGAGTCAAAAAACATAATTCAGGGTAATGTATGAGGGTTGAGACAAGCCAGCATGACTTTTACATTAAAGCTATTCCCACTACATTGCACTTGGACACCCCTGTCTGCCACGTCCTCTCTCTGGTACACTTCTATAGCAGAGCTTTGATCGGTGCTGAACCAGAAATAAACCACCTTAGCACAAAAGCCTAACACTGGAAATCCTAAATCCCAACTTTAATCCAACTGAACCAAATGCCATCCAAAAAAAAATTTTGCCTATTTCTTAGAATAAATATGAAATGTCATCTAGTACCTACAGATCAGAAGGCAGGAAGCAGATGGTGCTGTCTGCAAGATTTCTACCCTCTCTAGAAGAAATCTGTGCACACAACTCGTAATGGTGACAAAGCAGCTAAATGCCAACTGAAATATCAGAATTATCATATTGACATGCAAAAGCTAATCAAGGAAATTGTTGGCGCTCCCTGCTCACCTCTACTAATAAGGCAAGAGCAAGTTTTCCTGGAGTCACAATTCTGGTGGAAATGGAGGAAACAGAGAAAAGGTGAGCGCTCTCATACTGCAGTCTCCATACTCGCTTCCCGCTTCTTTGGGAGAAGCCAGGTCCAATGTGCCCAATGGAAGTAAGCAGAATACTCACTTATTGCAGACACAGACTTTGCCTTCCTACTTTGAGATTTGTTCCAGTTGTTTTCTACAGGACTATACAATTCCAGCCCTTCAGCAGAAGCTGCTTTCAAATTTACATCTGAAGAGTAAAATACAGTTAAATGCAGTAGCAAGGATAYTCAACCTTCAGTTATTCTTGTACCTAACAGAACCTCATCCATATCATTTCATGTAGAAGCATCAAGGCCAGAAACACAACAAGAGCTTCCCAAATAACTTCTGGGAGAAGATGAGCAAAGTCAGTTGCCTGACTGCTGGAAGGTCACACAGGGCCAAATATTCAAGCATCTAAAATCAACTTGGACGGAGGCCTAGGGGGAAAAAAAAAAAAAAAACCACACACCACAACCCACCAACCACTGCAAAACAAAAGTTAAGAGAAATTGAGAATTCAATTAAAGGAAAAAAATTTGTATGTAGCAGCAGAGTTGGCTGAGAAAGGCCCCTCTCCTCTCTTCACCCTCATGTCCATCTTGCATCTGCCACCACACGTTGTGCCTAGAGCTGGCTCAGCATTTGGTGGGGAASTGCACCTACTGCAGGTATGAAACACAATCAGAATTTATAATAATAAGACTAAGGAGGGCAGTCAACTATTCTCTTGATATGATTAAAGTAGGCTATATTTTCAGTTTGTTT